CAGAACATGGCCAATATACGTTTTATGAATCTCGGAAATTTTTTTTTTTTGAGAGATTTTCGCTATAGGGTGCGTGCGCTCGCCAGACAGACAGAGAGATACATAGAGACAGAAAGCGAGAAATCACCCCCCAGGGGGGATGGTCACGCCGCAATCCCTTCTCCTCCATTCTCCTCTCGGGATCTTGGGCACGCACGCACACGCGCCCGGCGTGAGTTTTAAGCCACCGGGTCCGGGACACGAACCGCGGTCGACTACGTGGGAATCCAGCGACATAGCCATTACGCTAACTGCTGGTTCCCGAGAATATATATTAACTCTTTTCTTAACAACAGAGTGTGTGATTGTGCATGTAAGCACGTAAGAGAAGCACTCTACACTGCAGTCCCCTTTCCCCAGCCCTCGAGCTCCTAAGGATCCTGGGCACCTGTGTGCACACCTGGTGTGTTTTCAGGCCCACCCAGGGAATGGAACCCACAGTCGGCCACGCAACTTGCAGCACTGCATGCAGCTGGGCCCACAGTAACCTTTTCAAAGACAACCACTGTAAGACAACATAGAATATACAGCTGGCAAACCAGTAGAGAAGCAAATAAATAGATTAATCAAATCCTTCATCACTATGATTACCAGTAGAAAAGCGAACCTCTCCTCCAAAAGGCCTCAGGACAGAGATCTCTACCCTCTGTGATCTGCCTCCCACTTCCACATTACAGCTGGGCTAAGGCACAGGTAAACGACATGCTGTGGTACTGAGCTCTAGTCCTGGCTAAGTTGGGAGGTGCCAAGAGGCATGAGATACACATAAGGCAACAAAGCACTCCAAGGAGAGTCCAACCTCTGGTCACCTCAAGGATGCCAGCAGGCCACAGTGTCCTCAGCAGTCAGATCAGGAAGACACTGGAGCCCTGGCTCACCTGACTCCGCGTAGCCAGTGGCGGGGGGGGTGGGGGGGTGAGCAGGCCTGAGGCGCTCCACACATACTTCATGAGGAACTGCTCCAGCATGACATACCACAGGCGCTCCAGCAGGATGAGGTTGATCTGGGAAGCCAGGCTCTGGTAGGAGTGCTGCAGCAGGGCTAGCTCCACCTGCCGGGAAGAGAACCCAGAGGCCTTGGGGGCAACTCCTGTTGGGGGACCAGGAGAACTCTCCAGTCCCGCACGCAGGGCCATGCCATGGCTACCTGGTGGCCACGACAGGACCAACTGGGTGGGGCCTGGACTCAAACTCGGGGAGGGGGGTGCAGGTAAGGGACTGCCTGACATCAGTGTGGCTCCCATCCCCTTTCCTGCCTCTCTAATTGGGACGTTCACCAATCCTGGCAGTTTTGGGATGTAGGCCCATTTCTCTGCTGTGGAAGGCGGTGGCTTACCCCCTGTTGAGGGAGCGAGAGCCAGGCTCTGTTAGAGCCAGGCTCTGTTAGCGCTTTCCATGGGGACTGCCTCAGGGAGGAGCACACCCTCCAGGTCTTGGTGGGAAAATGCAGAGTAAGTTTCTCACCTAGACCAGCGTGGGAAACTTGGGGAGGTGAGGCGCCGGCAGAGCACAGTGAGCCCTTTGCTCTCCTGTGGAGCTCCTGGCTCAGTAAGGGCAGAAAAGCTGGGCAGCTTAGTTGGCAGGTAGAGGAGGCCAGAGGTGTCGGGAAGTACTCATGACAAAGGCAGCCACGGGCCTGTGGATTTTCTGGCTGTCTAGGGGTGCGTGCCCCAGCCCTGCCTCCTCACACCCAGCTAATGACAGAAGCCCAGCCTAGCACCATTTGCTGTCTCATGGCATGTGCATTCTCATGTCTACTCTCCTGTGGGACACTGAAGCCCAGAGAGGCCCAGTGACTCACCCAAGCTCACACAACCTGGAGGCAGCAAGCAGTGCAGGAATTTGGCCCACACTGGCAGAAGTCAGAACCAGATTCTTGTAAGTGGTATTTTATCTTACTGTGAAAGGTTAAATCTTGTTCTCAAGCAAGTATGAGACTGTATGTTTAAAAGAGCTTCTTAATCAAAAACTGGGATTTCAGTAAACTGACCCTGCTATTTGCCCTCCAGCCAGTCCTTCTGCTCTAACCTGTTGAGCCGAGTCTAGGCCAGTGTCCACAGGGCCATCAACCAGTGGGCCTGCAGTGGGCCACATGTGTGCACAGTGAGGACAACTGACCCACCTGTGGGGCCCTGTCACCCTTCTCTGTTCCAGCCAGGCTGTGGGTGCGCGTGCCCTACCAAGCGAGCCACTTGTGTTGGCACTAGCCCAAGGCACAGAGGAAGTCCTCAGAAGGATCGGTAGCTCTCCTCTGCCCCCGCTCCCAAGTCGGCTCGTGCGGCCCAGCTTTCTGCAAGCGGAGTCTCCCATTCCTGAAGTGAGCACACTGCCTCTGAGCACCCTGGCAATCCAGACGCGTGCTGGCAGCTGGCAGGAGTGCCAGTCAAGGCTGACAATGTTGTTGCGGATAACGTGCCAAGTGCCTCACCCCAGGCCACGGCTGCCTGCTGAGGCCTGGCAGCGTGTGGGACAAGAGTAGGAGAGGGGACGTGGTGGATGGCCAGTGCTTTTTCCCTAATCTACAGCCTGGCTCATACCTGGGATGGCAGCCTGGGATGTCCCTTTGCAGAATTCAGGGACAGGCCTTTCTTAAAAACTAGGGACAAGTCTGCCTCTGCCAGAGAAACAGCAATTAGTCTTGGGAGGCGACCACCTGACCCAGAGAGCAAACAGCCTTCAGGACATGGGTGCCATTGTGCTCCCTTCCCTGGAGAAACTCTTTAACCCAAACCAGAGTTGCAGAGAGCAGGGCTTGAGGCAGCTGCAACCCCAGGCACGAGGAAGAGGAGGGGCGGAGCAGAGCGGAGATAAAGAGAGCATTGGCCTGGAGTAACCTTTCTGAGCGCCTGCCTGGCCCGGCCCAGCCCAGGCCCCCAGCTCACCCCACCAGCCAGCCTGGGACTTAGGCGGAAGGACGGACACGCCTGGGGCAGGACGACCAGGGTCGGTTACCAGGCAGGCAGGAAGTGTGTGCCGCTGTGGTGGTGGTTTCAGCCAGCATTCTTGGCCTCAGAGGCAGCTGAGCCTGTCAGGAGCCCAGCAAGCCGGTGGGC